TCGTGGGATGTAATCGTGATGTGCTCAAACCGCCTCAAATCGTGACTTTTAGATAACCACAGGGTTTAGTCATCGCTAGGATTCTGGGCGATCCAACAATTTGGGCGACGACTCCTTCGCTCTGGGCGTCCATAGGGTATTTTATTCGTTTAACATCTGGGCGTTCTGCAAGCTTGGGCGACAGCGTTCCTTTGTTTGTGGGCTTTCATCTTGGATTCCCAACTAGGCTTTGGGCCACTTAATTTGGGTTACACTTTTTAGTGTGTCAACAAATACCCTTAAACTAATTAAACATTTTAAGGAAGTATTAAATACGTCATAAATCACCTAATTAACTACAACCAAAACTCAACCTGATTAACTACAACAAGCCCAAACCACGTCATTTCCCTTCTTCCTCAGAAACGTTTCCTCTCCCATTCGTAGCCCCAAATCTTCATGGGATATTTGTTTGGTGTGCTGACTATTCAAAGCCAAACCCTAACCTCGAAATCAATTTCCAACCTCTATCAACGGCCTCCCAAAATCTGACTTACGAGTTGAAAGTTTTTGATTGCATTAGAGGTGGTGTGCACATGGATGTCAGAAATGAAGCATTGTAGGGCGACTTTGAATCTTTTCTCTCAGCAGTTCAACCTCTCACAATCACACTCTTGTCTCTCTGAGCCCTTGATGAGGCGACACCGGCGACGTCATCTTTCCATTGACAATAGACACCATCAGTAGCACAACAGCGATTTGTTTTTGGAAGAAGAAAGAAGGTGAACCATTAAACCATGAACTGATAATTCAATTTTTGTCTAAATTCTGAGAATTCAGTACGTGATCACGACCATCAGGTGAAAGCGGGAGCTATTAAACTGAAACTTCAATCTCCGAATGTTGATGTTTCAGTTTCCAAATGTTGATGGAATAACTGCAGATCCACAGCCAGATTGGAGCTTTGATAACTTATTATCAGAGATCGATACAATAGAAAAGAAGCTTAATGTATCTTCAAAAATTTCTGTACCGTTTACCAAAACTCAACATAGAGAGTTTCAAGCTTTAAAGATGACTAATAAGTATTCAAGGGGCTTTGTAATGCACGTGTGAGACAATTAGCTAGAAGTGACTGTCAGTGATAGTGAAGAGGAGGTTGAAGATTCGTCCATGGTCGTGGGCACTCGATTTTCTTGTGATGAATTCTATATGAGTGATGATTCTAAAGATAAAATTCTTCTTGGAATCCCATGTTTGATGAATAAAGTGGGATTAGTGCAAGGAGCGCTCTCCTAGTTAGTTCATGACCTTCAGTTTAGTGTTAAGGAGGAAGTGAGGAACCAAATATTGACATTGGAAAAAGATTTAGTGTATCCATGGTGTTTGTAGAATGTTCTCTAAGAAGAAAACAATGTGAACTTGTGTCACTTTTTAAAGTATGTCACTTTTTTTAAATTGACATGAGAGGGTTCTAAATGAAATGGGTCGTTAAATAAGTATCATACTGGAAAAAAAATAACGTCAAAAATCTTTTATTTCTCACACAAATCAATATACTACGACATTTATGTCACTTTTTTTTTTTTTTAGTTTATCACTTTTTTATATTTATTTTCGCCAATAAATCCATTGAGGTTCATGAAGAAAGTGAGATGTTTTGGAAGTGTTACGGAGATGTTCAACTTAGACTTTTAGAAAAGTGACAAGATATTTTGTCATGCCTCAACGGGGCAAATAATAACTCAATTGTGTTACACCAATTTGAAAATTGTCAATTTGTCACTTTTTTGAATTTATATAACCTTTTTTAGTGTTCGTGACTTTTTTATTAAATGTTTATCACTTTTTTAATGTTTGTTACTTTTTTTGTCAATTCTTTGAAAGTTCTATTACTTTTTTGAATGACAAGCATCATTTTTTTAATAAAAATGACATTGTATGTTATTTTTTAATAAAAAAGTGACACTTAACTTTAAAAAGTGACAGCGTGTCACTTTTTCCGTGTCACTTTTTTTTATTGTGCCACTTTTTATATTAAAAAAAGTGACAATTAATTTTACACAATATTTTTTACTTTCAAAATATGTTTCATATGATTTTTCAAAACACCCTTAGTTTAAGGGTATTTTTGTAAGTTCACCGTAAAGATATGGGTGATATGTTTATGGCGGACCCTGGACCCAAATTTCACTTATTGGGTCGTATCCATTATCTTTTAACAAAAATGGTCCAACAGCCGAGTCCCTAATGAGTCGTAGTGGGCTTTATCTAGCTAACGGTAGTGGACCATTAGGTGTAAATAAGAGCACCCATTTCGTACAACTGGAGTTTAAAGAGGAAATTTCACCCGATGCAATAATTTAGGCAGTCAAGTTAGAAACCAAAGAGGAAATTACACAAGCTATCGTAGTTATAAAAAAAATTCGTATAAAGAAAATATTTTTTTTTTCAAACAATTCACACGAAATAAAATCATATTACACAATCACACAAGCACAAAATACTAAACAAATGACGATAACAATTAATAACGGATGATTCGCCCCTCAACTTAAAACATACATCATCCCCAATATCAAATGACGGTTATGACTTCCCCGAATACATCAATTGTTGTACACCCATCGTCTTGATGATGATGGATATTAGTTGGCTTTCTAACCACGTTGCTGCCCACAAATTTGAGAATCTTTCGACAAACAACATAATGAGTGTTACGATAATAAAATAAACAATCGTAAAGCTAAAAACTAAGCTTGTGTTTGGCCT